GGCATGATCCTAACTCCCTGGGACCTTGAACTCCTAGACAATCCTCCTTCTTTAGCCTCTAGAGTAGCTAGGACCACTGCAGCATGCCACCACACCCGGCTAATTTATACACACACATACATACACACGCATACACAAGTGTATTATTGAGCTCAAATGCATTAATATTATTTTTGTTTTAAATACTCAATTATTTTTGAAGAAAATGTTAATAATGGGAAAAGTTTTACCCACATATTTACTGTTTCTAATGATCTTTATTCTTTGGTTAGATCTGGTATTTTGTCCTTATAAAGTGAAAAACTTCATTTTCTACTTTTGGTAATGTAGGCAATACTTTCTAATAATTAGCTATTATTTGTTCAAATTATTAGTTACTATAACTCAGGTAATAATTACTTGCTAATAATTAGCTGTTTGTCTGAAAATGTCTTTATTTCATCTTCTTTTTTGAGACAGAGTCTCACTTTGTCACCCTCTGTAGAGTCCTGTCATGTCATAGCTCACAGCATCCTCAAACTCTTGGCCTTAAGCAATTCTCTCGACTCAGCCTCCTAAGTAGCTGGGACTACAGGCATCTGCCACAACACCTGGATATTTTTAGAGACAAGGTCTCGAACTCTTGAGCTCAGGCAATCCACCTGCCTCAGCCTCCCAGAGTGCTAGGATTACAGTGTGAGCCACCAAACCCGGCCCTGTTAAAACATTTTCTGCGTTGTTTTATTTAATCTTCATATAAATGGCACAAAAATCAAGGGTGCCCATTTTTTTTTTCTGCCATTAGAAGAAGTGTTGTCTTGGGCCACACTTAAATACACAAACACTAACAAGAGCTGATGAGCAAAAAGACTGGGTCTGTGCATACTTTTCTCCATATCCAACACCACAGATAAGCAAAACAGGCCTCAAATAATCCTCATGCAGCTTTCTGGCCACTTTTTTCTTATTATAGACACGGTAATAGAGGGTCAAGAAGTTTAAGAAACTTGCCTGGGGTCACGCCGCTGGTAAGCCATGATCCAGGACCCAGATCTGTCTGATTCTTTTCTTCATTAAAAAGACTATCTTCTCACTTACTATTAAATTGTAATTGTTACCAAGCAATGGTCTCGCTGCCAGATGCACAGAGAAGCCAAAACTATGGCACCAGCTTTTGAGAAAAAGAAAAAAAAATCTTGGAGAGTTGATTGTCAGGGAGAAAAGAGGTAAAGCTCAAATCTGTCTCCACACCGGTGGGGTGGGAGAGGAATTAAGCTTTTATGGCCTTCTTAACGAGCCCCAGGTAATGCCAGTGCAGCTGGTCTAACTGTAAAGAGGCTAAAGTGCCTTCCATTGCATGCGCCTAGGCCATGGGAGCTCATATCTAACAACTTAAGCAATGGTTAATCGGTTTGAGCTGGTCCCGGGGTTCCATTATTTTTGATGATGATAAAAGTAATGCATGCTTGTTGATTGTACCTTTGAAAATATAAAGAAGGGGATAGCGCCTGTGGCTCAAAGGAGTAGGGCTCTGGCCCCATATACTGAAGGTGGTTGGTTCAAAACCAGCCACGGTCAAAAACTGCAAAAAAAAAAAAAAAGGAAAATATAAAGAAGGCTCAGCACCTGTAGCTCAGTGGTTATGGTGCCAGCCACATACACGGGAGCTGGCCAGTTCAAATCAACTCTGGGCCTGCCAAACAACAATTACAACTACAATCAAAAAATAGCCGGGCATGTGGCGGGCACCTGTAGTCTCGGCTACTTGGGAGGCTGAGGCAAGAGAAATTGCTTAAGCCCAAGAGTTTGAGGTGGCTGTGAGCTATGATGCCACAGCACTCTACCCAGGACACCTTGATACTCTATCTTAAAAAAAAAAAAAAGAAAAGAAAAGGAAAAGAAAATATAAAGAAGTATAAAAAGAAAATGTAAAGTTCCTATATTTGCAGGGATAGTCACTATTAACATATGCTTTTGTTCAAATTATACTTCCATAAGTATTCTATATATATAATGTATCTAATCAACAGAAATATATGTATATAAATTGAGTATATTTGTACATGAATTCTATCAAATGAATATACTTGAATATTTTGTGTATGTGTGTATACATGTGCATACATGCGTATCAGGATGGTTTTGTCTGTTTTACAAAATTAGAATCCCATAAAATCTGACCAGACATTTCTACAGACTGCTTGGTAAGCTGCCTTTTCCCCTAACAATGCCTTTCAAGCTTTTTCCATTAGATGTAAACATTCTTTGAGAACAAGTTTTTTATAGCTTTTATTATGGAAAATTTCAATCGTACCCCAAAGATCACAGAAACCTCATGTACTCATTACTCAACTTAAAAATTATTAGTATTTTCCAGTCTTTGAATGTGATTTTTAATGGCTGTCTTGTATTTCAAGGCATAGATGTAGCATTTATAATTTAATCAATTCTGTATTGACAAATGTTGGCATTGCAAAAAAAGATCTTTGTGGATAAGTTGTTGCGAAAACATAAGATTATTTTCTCAGGATAAACTCCTATAAATAGAATTAATTGATTAAAGAGGATGAACATTTTACAGTTTTTGATTCTTGTTGCCAAAATACTGAGTAGAAAGTTTGCAGCAACTTGCTTCATCTCCTCCCAGTAAGTTTCCGAGAGAGCTATTTTACCACACTCCCAGACAACCCCGTATTATTCTCTAAGTGGGCACCTTGCCTACTGGACAGGTTGACTGGCATGTTGGTATTCCCTTTGCTCCACTAGCTACCCCATTCCTCAAATTAGCTGCAGAGAGAGAGATGGGCTCTCCTAGTGGTAAAATTCCCTGGGGGCTGAAAATCAAAATGAGACCAGAGGACGCGTTCCGTGTCCTGCACACTTCCCGTATTAAACTCCACGTTTTACTTACCCCGTACACCTGGTGCTGGGGTCTGGTATTTGTCTCCACTGAGGAAAGCAAGAATCCCTTATTTTGGCAGCAACAGGGGACAGCTGATCAGCCAGAGATCCTGGCAAAAGTGGCGTCGGCCACCTGTCTGGGACTCAACCACAGCGCTGAGTCCCAGCAAATGCTCTGCTCAGATCTGCACAGCCTTCCGGTTTTCTTGGCGTGCATCCAGACTCCACACACGGTCTCCAGAAGCTGGCTCCAAAGCAAACTGGCTCTTCCAAACGCATTTAAACGGTCAAAGAGGAGTCAGAGCATAGGTGGCATGCAAGAGAGGACGACCCTGAGAGAACTGAGATGGCCCTCAGACCACCTCACGCCCCCTCTCCTCTCCTGGCCTGGGCAGTCAATAGGAAGATCTGTAAGAAAATGCCAGGAATGGTCCCAGCACAGGAGACTGATGTCTGGAGAGTAAAGGGACAGGAAAGGAGGCGGGAACCTGGCCTGACACATGGAGCCAGGCTTGGGGCAACCGAACTTCAGTACCTAAACTTACATTCTTGTTAGAAGGTAAGCTTCACAGGAACAGAATTTTGTCCTTTTTTGTACATGGATATATCCCAAAGGTAAGGGAAAAAATGCCTGATGCATTTTAGGTACTCAACAAATATTTGAATTGAATAAATCTTCTGAATTGATTCATTGAATGAAAAGAAAGAATTAGGAAAACCATACACTCAACAATTGTGTGTTAAACAATATACGTAGAGTAGTCCCCCCTTTCTACGGGGGACAACTTTCAAGACCCCCAGTGGGTGCCTGGGACTACGGACAATACCAAATCCTATATATACTGTGTTTTTTCCTACACCCATATACCTATGATAAAGTTTAATTTCTAAATTATACACAGTAAGAGACTAACAATCCAAACTGGTAATATAATAGAACAATCATAACAACATGCCAACATCACTAGTCTTGCACTTTGGGGCCAGTAAGTAAAATAAAGTTTCCTTGAATGGGCCGTCTGCTAACCAACATGGCTGCTAGGTGACTCGAGTATGGTTGGTGTCTACAGCACAGACACACTGGACGGAGGATGATTCAAGTCCCCAGTGGGATAGAGCTGGACGACATGTGATTTCAACATGCTACTCAGAACAGCATGCAATTTGCAACTTGTTTATTTCTGGAATTTTGCACTTAATATTTTCAGACCACATTTTACTACAGGTACCTGAAACTGCAGAAAGTGAAATTGTGGATAAGAGGGAACTACTGCATGTCACTGGACTCAAAGCTAAACAGAGGTTCAAAGAAGAAGAATTTTTATTATAAAAACTTTCCCTTCTTGGCCAGGCACGGTGGCTCATACCTGTAATCCTAACACTCTGGGAGGCTTAAGCAGGTGGATCACTTGAGCTCAGGTGTTCAAGACTAGCCTGAGCAAGGGCAAGATCCTGTCTTTAAAACTAGCTGGGCATTGTGGTGGGCTCCTGTAGTCCCAGCTACTTGGGAGGCTGAGGCAAGAGGATCACTTTAGCCCAAGAGTTTGGAGTTAGTAGTGTGAGCTGTAATGCCATGGCACACTACTGAGGGCAACCAAGTGAGACTTGGTCTCAAATAAATAAGTAAATAAATAAATACACAAATAAATGAAAACTTTCTAGAGAAGCTAATGTAAATTCGATAAAAACCCAAGTCCTTAGCAATAGTGCAGACAGAAAGTATCTTGGAGTTCAGAAAGATACTTGAGACTTGGTCTCAAATAAATAAGTAAATAAATAAATAAATACACAAATAAATGAAAACTTTCTAGAGAAGCTAATGTAAATTCGATAAAAACCCAAGTCCTTAGCAAGGACAGAAAGTATCTTGGAGTTCAGAGGGAAAAGAAACTCTTCTGTCTTAGCTGACACGGGGGCCTGTTGAGGAGGTGGATCTGAGGCCAGGTCTTGAAGGATGATGTTTCCTGGGGCTGCAGGAACAAACTGCCGCAAACTGGGTAACTTAAAACAACAGAAATGTATTTCCTTATCAGTCAGGCAGGGATAATAATGTGACTGGCTCCTTGAGTCAGTACAAAGATTAAAAGTAGTCTTTCGTTGCAGATAGCGCTTGCGCAAACATGGTGAATGTTCCTAAAACCCGCCAGACTTTCTGTAAAAAGTGTGACAAGCACCAGCCCCACAAAGTGACACAGTACAAGAAGGGCAAGGACTGTCTCTATGCCCAGGGAAAGCGGCGTTATGACAGGAAGCAGAGTGGCTATGGTGGGCAGACTAAGCCAATTTTCCAGGAAAAGGCTAAAACTACAAAGAAGATTGTGCCGAGGCTTGAGTGTGTAGAGCCCAACTGCAGATCTAAGAGAATGCTGGCTATGAAGAGCTGCGAGCATTTTGAACTGGGAGGGGATAAGAAGAGAAAGGGTCAAGTGATACAGTTCTAATCATCTTTTGTTTTATCATGAAGACAATAGAATCTTGAGATTATGTTCACTTCATCTGGCTGTAGTTGGTCTTTGGGGAGGGAATAAATGAGAGCCATCAATAAAATTACCCTCAGGGGAAAAAAACCAAACAAAGATTAAAAGTGGCCGTGCATGAAGAGAGCTTTGCATGTAGAAACTGCTCAGTAAATGCTATCTCCTTACTTTAAGTTGCTGATAGTGATGGAGAACGAATTTGTTGAGGGGATGGAGGTTACAAAACAGGAAACTAAAAGGATATTTTAACAGCCAAGCAAGAGGGTGTTTACATTAAAGAAGAAACAGTTATGTTTTCCCAGGTCTGAGCTATACATACTTCTGCCTAATTACAGTACCCGGTGCGACGGTTCTCAGAGTGTGACTTGGGAATACCCAAAACCAGCTGAGGCCTCCTGGGAGGCCTTTTTCACTTTCATTTTCTCAGGAAGGTGCTGTGGAGTTTTCTAGAAACAGTGTGACCAACGTGACATGTGATGTGGCACCTGAACAAAAACTGAAGCAGCCATGAGAATCCAGCTGTCTTGTATTAGGCCAGACATTAAAGGTATTCACAGCCATGTGAAATAGTAACATTTTTAACATGAAATTTAAAAATATATATTATGTTTACATAGACAGTTATTATTGTCGTAGTCAGTTCCCAGGTTATGAGCAAGATAGGTTCTGTAGGTTTGTTCTTAAGTTGAATTTGTACGTAAGTTGGAACAGGTGCATTTCCTTATTGCCCGTAATGGCCTCTGTTTGTATGTATGAGTCACACATCAGTTGAATGTTTGTAACTCAGGGACTTACTGTAATAGCCTCTGTTTGTAAGTGTGAGTTGTATGTAAGTCGGATGTTTATAACTTAAGGACTGCCTGTATTTTTAAATGAATGAATAAAAATCTTAAAGAATGCTCCATTTTAATTTCTGGTACATTAAATATCAACTGAGATAACAAGCTCTTTGGAATTTTCAACAATTTTTAATAGGCTAAAAAGGTCCAGAAACCAAAAAGTTGGAGAATCTCCGGTCTAGAGAAGCACATGGCATGCCGGGGGCAGGATGTCTCGGTAACTCGCGAGTGACCGCTGCAGCCAAGTGGGCTCTCAGGGTACATGCAGAGGGTATTACCTCATCAGAAGGATTTTTAGGAATTCTATGGGGAAAACAGTCCAAAATCAAGCTTCTATGATATATCCATTTTCTTTGTGCTAGGGTTTTTAATATCCTCCACATCCATATGTTGAATTCCTGACCTCCAAGGTGAGAGTATTAGGAGGGGGAGGCCTTTGGGGATGTGTTTAGGTCATGAGGGCTCCACCCTCATGAATGGGATTAGTGCCCTAATGAAACAGGCCATGGCGTGTGTCCTTCCACGAGAGGACACAGCTAGAAGGCATTGTGTAGTCTGCCGCTGACCTCCTTGCTGCCTTTGTTAAAATCGTCCTGACAGGTGGCCTTCGGCATGCTCAGGCTCCTCTGACGATAACAAACCTACAGATGCCGGCTGAAGAACAGATTCCCAAAACTCTGCCTTGGGACTGTTCAGGCGTTTGTTTAATAAGGCTCCACAGGCATCTGATCAGGGAAGTTTTGAAAACAGGTGCCTCTTGTAAAAAAAAAAAAAAAAGGCACTTGGGGGCGGTGCCTGTGGCTCAGTGGGCACCGCGCTGGCCCCAAATGCCGAGGTGGGTTCAAACCCGGCCCCGGCCAAACTGCAACAAAAAAATAGCCAGGCGGGCTTGGCACCTGTGGCTCGAGCAGCTAAGGTGCCAGCCACACACACCTGAGCTAGCAGGTTCAAATCCAGCCCGGGCCTGCCAAACAACAATGACGGCTGCAACCAAAACATAGCCAGGTGTTGTGGCGGGCACCTGTAGTCCCAGCTACTTGGGAGGCTGAGGCAAGAGAATCACTTAAGCCCAAGAGTTGGAGGTTGCTGTGAGCTGTGACACCACAGTACTCTATGGAGGGCAATAAAGTGAGACTCTGTCTCTACAAAAAAAAAAAAAGGCACTGGGAAACCCCTGGTGTAGAAAGAGCAGCAATTTGCAAACTTCTGGTGAACATGCCGGTTACCTGGACCCCCTGCAGGGACTCTGGCTGGGCAGGTCTGGCCGGTGGCCTGGGAGTCCGATTTTGTTCTTCCAGATGATTGATAGACATGCTCAGCTTGGAGAACAGCCAAAATGAGATGGTTTCCTTAGATTGCTTTGCTTCTGAGATTCCTTACTATGAAAGAATGAAAAAAAAAAAATTAAATGAACGGTAAGTAGTGGAGTGAGAAGAATTTTAGAGCAGACTTGCCACCTCTGTTTCAGAGAAGGTAGAGCACAGAGGGTCTTCCCGGAGCATTGGAGCCTCACTGGGACACTCAGGGCCTGCGGCTGGGGAGGGGTGAGGTGGGGGCACACACAGGAACCCCTGCTCCAGGCAGCCCCTTGTCTCCTTTCAGGGCTGGTCTAAGCTTTACCAAGTGTTACCATCCTGACCCTGACCCTGGGCACAAACCACCAGCTCTCTCAGCCACATGGCGGCTGGTACAGACTTTGGTAAAGATAACAAATGACACCCTGGACATCCCAGTCCCCGGAGCCTCCTTATTAATGTCATATCAGCCTGAAATCAAGATGCCAGTTTCCCACGAGGTACTTATCTTTACTATCAGAACGTGACCCCACTTTCCAAGGAGGGCCAGTTACACCTGCTTATTCTCTTTCCTAGAAAGAATGTAATCGATTTCTACCAGCTTGATCTATTGCAATCAGTATTTGTTTCTCTTAGGACAGCGGTTCTCAACCTGTGGGTCACGACCCACAGGAACTGTATTAAAGGGTTGTGGCATTAGGAAGGTTGAGAACCACTGTCTCAGGAGAAAATGTTCTCTGGTGACCTCTCAGAATTTGCAGGGCACCTCTACCTCCTGGCCTCTCCTCTTCTCAGTCCTTTTGGGTCTGGACCCACAGGCTCTCAACGACAAGGTTTCTTTTTCTCCCTGACAATCTATCCACACTGATCAAGCGACACATTAGCCCATTTATTTTGTTTTCTATCTCCCTCTACGAGAATGTAGATGCTCATGAATGCAGAGTTTTCATCTCTTTTGCTCCGTGGGCCTAAAAAGTGTCTGGTTCTGGGCTGCGCCTGTGGCTCAAAGGAGTAGGGCACCGGCCCCATATGCTGGAGGGGGCGGGTTCAAACCCAGCCCCAGCCAAAAACTGCAACAACAAAAAAAGTGTCTGGTTCTTAGTATCTGTCAAAGGGATGACTAAATGGGTTTTATCTCTGACTAGCCGAGGGAGGGGTGGGCAGTATGACTCACAGCTCTGGAGAGAGGGATAGGAGAGGGTGGTAAGTTCTAAGGTCCAGAATTAAACAAGGAATATTATTTAAGGAAACGAGACACCATGGGCAAAAAGACCATCTCCATCTTGAAGTTTAACGTTGAGGGCCTAACCCTGGGGACACCACAAAGCCCCAGACCAAAGGGGCAGATGGACAGTCAATGAGATTAGACGAGCTCTGGAGCCTGAGGCTGGAGCTCAAGCAGGGTTACACCGGAACCACCAAATTCTGCTTCCTGCTGGTTTTCCCTTATAAAAGTAGGGTATTAAAAATTGCTATTTAAACACAATTGACAGTGAGCGGCGTAAAGTTATTATTAACATTCAATAACTTAGCATGGACAGGTGGAAGTGACGAAAGAATGACAGGTAAGATAGGGTAGCCAGGTGCAGTGGCTCACACCTGTGATCCCACCACCCTGGGAGGCTGAGACTCCTGCTTGAGGCCAGGAGTTTAAGACCAGCCTGAGCAAGGGCTGGACCTTCTGTCGACTAAGAATAGAAAACTCAGCTGGGTATTGCGGCAGGGGCCTGTAGTCCCAGCTAACACACACATACATATATGGTAAGGCAAACTGGAAGCAACACACTATCTTTTTCCTCTTTATTATGACTTACAACCTACGTCATAATTCACATTCATAGCCATTGTGAAGCCTACTTTGAGTCCCAGCATGTATTTTAACATCTTTCACTTTTTATTTTGAAACAACTCCAGGCATACAGAAAAGTTGCAAAAAATAATTTCCATATGCCAAATTCCCCAAATGAGCCAGGCACAGTGCCCATACCAGCACTCTGGGAGGCCGAGGCAGGTGGATTGCCTGAGCTCATGGGTTCAAGACTAGCCGAAGCCAGAGCAAGACCAGTCTGAGCCATCTCTAAAAATAGCTGGGTGTTGTGGCCGGTGCCTGTAGTCCCAGCTACTCAGGAGGCCGAGGCAAGAGTTCACGTACACCTAAAGGTGGTGGGTTCGAATCCCCAGCCCGGACCCGCCAAACAACAATGACGGCTGCAACCAAAAAATAGCCAGGCGTTGTGGCAGGCACCTGTGGTCCCAGCTACTTGGGAGGCGGAGGCAGGAGACTCGCTTAAGCCCAGGAGTTGGAGGTTGCTGTGAGCTGTAATGCCACGACACTCTACCCAGGGGGACAGCTTGAGGCTCTGTCTCAGAAAAAAAAAAAAAAAAAAAAGAGTTCAAGAGTTTGAGGCTGCTGTAAGCTGTGACACCACAGCACTCTACCCAGGGCCGCAAAGTAAGACTCATGCATACTTTCTTTTCTGAGCAATTACAGAGTGAGTTATAACTGTAATGTCCTGTTGCTCCTAAACATTTCCTTGTGTATTTCCTAAAAACAAGGACATTATCTTATGTAACCACAATATAATAATCAAAATCAAGAAATTAACGGTGATCCACTACTGTCTTCTAATCTAAAGACCTTATTCAAATTCCGCCAGTGGCCCTGCTAACGTCCTTCAGAGCATCCTGCGGAATGGGCCTCCGCTGTAGTCCTGGGGGTGCTCAGTCAGTGGCCGGCAGCCGGCCTGTAGGTGGGAGGCTGCTGCAGTGGGTCCAGACAGCTGGGCCTGCCGGTCATCTCTGCTCCCCGTAGTGACAGATCTGGTGGTGAATTTCCATGGTTGCCACAGAGGGCCTTCTTTGCGACCAAACAGAAAAGGCCAAGAAAGCCCAGAGGTCCATCCTGTACAGAGCTGGACTTT